GGGAGGGAGGGGGGGAAATGTGGACCTAATGCTGGGGGCTTAAGTGGAGAGCAAATGTTTTGAGAATGATGAGGGCAATGAATGTACAAATGCACTTTACACAATTATGTATGGATTGTGATAAGAGTCGTTTATGAGCCCCTAATAAAACGATTAAAAAAATGTTTCTAGAAGAACTTAATTTTCACAAGTTTTCACCAAAGTTCAAAAGTTAACATTTACATCCTCCTTTGTGGTTTACAGGGTCTTCTTTGTCCTCGTTTGTCAGATAGGTTGGGTAGATACTATTCCATTTCACAAATAAGGGTGACAGGCCCAGGTAAGTTACGTGGCTTGCCCAGCTGGAGAGTGGTAAGATCACACTCAGATCTTCAGACTTCTCTCAGAGCTTCAACCACTTTTCCACGGTGGCTGGAAGCTGCTTGAGGTTAAGTGGAAGAAACACAATCTCAAGCAGAGCCACTGTAGGCTAACAGATTTTGGAGGGCAAATAAGTACTTCCAGCAGAGAAAACAGAGGGAGAGAGTCTTTGGCAAATATGGGAGTCCGTAGGGAGATGGGTCTGAATATTGAAATTTGTGTAAGGCAATCATGTTGGGAACATACCAACAGGGCCAGATCATGAAGACACTGGATATGAAGTGGTATGTAATAAGGGATCATCATGGACTCGTGAGAAAACCAGAGTAACAATGAAAGCAGGACTTTGGGAGGATTCGTCTGGCACTGGGACAAGGATCGGAGGGAGAATCTAGAAGATGCTACTGTGGCAATTCGTGTGTGAAATGGTTTAGTGTTGGAGAAAGATAGCAGCAATAGTAATGGCAAAGAAGGAGTGGATCCACAAGGCAGGAGGACACCGCAGGACTCAGGCGCAGAGAGCGACTCCAAGTCTAGAGGAACGGAGACCTCCCTGGAACAAGAATAGTGCCTCCGTTACGGAGATGCTGCCTTTGTCTGGAAAGTATCAGGATAGACAGAGAAACAATGTAAAACTTGAGACGGCACCTCAGCTGAATGGTTTGGACGTCAATCTTTAATACAAAAGAAAATGTAAAGCCCAGGGATAAGAAGGCAAGGATGTTATAGTAGATCAGACGTTTTTATCATAAAAAATGCAAATTTCTTTCATATTAATTTATTAGTACTTATAAAATTTAAAATTTGACTTTTAAAAGTACTTCCCTTTTTAAGGTAAAGAAACTACAAACTTTGCAAAATATAGACACCCGAAAGTATTACAATACAGATCCATGTATATACATCTTGGACATGATAAAAGTGTCTTCAGAATCACACCCTGTAAAAGTTAGGAGAAGAAAGTCTCTCCAACTTGGTCATGTATTGTGATATTCAAGTATTTAAACCAGACTGCTGAAATAAAGCATGTATCTAGTGCACAAGGCCAAAGGAGTTTTAACTTTCAAGGACCCAGAGGCTCTTTTATTGTGCAAGTAATGAATTGGGAGAGGGTTCCCTGAGAGGTCATTCACCTTAGGTAGCTCAAGTAAGTAGTGGTTTGCTTCCCATATTTTACCACGGGGCGAGATCACAAGGCGTCTGCAAACCCACCTTGGGCTGGCCTTCCCTGAAGCACAGCGGTTCTCAACCTTCCCAATGCGGCGACCCTTTCATACACTTCCTCATGTGGTGGTGACACCTCCAACCACAAAATTATTTTCGTTTCTACTTCATAACTGTAATGAATTGGGTGACCCCTATGAAAGGGTCGTTTGACCCCCAAAGGGGTCGAGACCCACAGGTTGAGCACCACTGCTGTAGCATCTCTATCTGTGGAGTGTGACTCCTCAATTTCTAAGAGAACTTTTACCTTGAAAGTGCTTTGAGTCAATACTAATCCAAGATACTTGCAAATGATCCTTTTGCAGCTTTCAGTTCCAATACCATCAGTTAGACTAAAAGTTGTGATAGAGAGAATTCCCCTAAAGAGACTCCATTTCGGATTGGTCAGATAGGAAGGGCTTGAGAAGATCAACAAGCCAAGACGCCCTTCTTTGGAACGATTGGAAACAATCTTTTTTCACATAAATCCTGGATAAATCCCTTTTACGTATAAAGTCCGGAAGCCAAGTTTCTCCTTACTTTGGAAGCACTGTGATGAGCAGGTGGAGAAAGCCTACAATCTTTTAGTTCTGCAGGCTCAAGATACTATCAGATGCAATGTCTGACACATCATGAGTTGGAGGCTATTAGAGCTTCAGTGATGAGGGTCATTGGACAGAGGTGGGAATCCTTTGTATGTACTCTGTACTTCCTGATTAACCTCCCAAGACTTTCTAGATATTAATTCTCCTTTGTACTACAGAATGCCGGCCTGAAGAAGTTCCAGACATAAAACGTGCTGTGCGAATTCATGATGATCGTATCACAGTGCAGCATGGACAGTGAACATCACACTGGCATGCTAGAGTCTAACAGAGATTTTTTCCCCCAGTGAAGAAATTACAGAATCAACCAACCATGGATTCACAGGTTTTTACATTTAACGTGTAACATGGAGCATTATCACAAACAATTCCATGAGAGAAAAAGACTATAAAACCAATAGCATTATCATGGTTTAAAAGCGATTTATAAATACATCTGCATATATTTTCCAAAGTCCTCTAAGTATTTGGTCTAGAGCGTGAGCGAGGTGTGTATTAGACTGAACCACATGAAACTGTCATTTTTACCATTTAAGAAGGTCAGATATTGGCTTTTTCATATGGTTCAAACTAACCAAAGCCTGAGAAAGTTTTATTTGGCATCACACTATAAATTCAAAGAGAAGGTATACGAGATTCTATTTCCAGTGACGGAAAACATTTTAGGATGGAAATGTGTACACGGCCATGCTAATATTTCTCCTGTAACTTAAAAACCCCAATTCTTAGTGTTTACAAAAACAGAGAAGACAATTCAAATGACAGAATCATAGCAACAGTTATTAATGTTACTGAAACAGAACCATCTGCCAACTTTGACCATTGGAGACTGTTCTAAACATTGCATATAAAAAAATCCAGCATGAACATGAAAAGGCACAGGGATGGGTCAAGAAAATGATAATCACTTACAAAAACCTAGAAAGTACAGTGAATTCATTTGGATCATTTTAAAAAAATCTTTTCTATGTGCGAATTTATGGACACATAAGATCTGCGTAAGATCAATTCTTACCCACCTCCTCCAAGTTTCTGCTTTGGCCTCCTAAGTGGAATTATATATTGCAAATGAATCCACAATACTGTAAACAGCAGCATTATTTTCAATAAGCTTCGTAATTCCGACGCTGCTAAGAGAGCATCTAAAATTTCTCCCCACTCATAGCCCATCAGTACCAAAAATATACTATGCTTAAAAAAAATATTTCATATAGCTATACTAGTCATAAAACATTGTTGCCGTTTTCTTCTCAACTAACGAGCTCTCTGATCCATGGCACCCCATCAAAAACCGGACCAAAATTAAAACAAGAAAGCTATCTATATATATATAAATAATTGATAGACCAAACAGATCAACTATTCTTAATGAAAGACATACCATATTTAGAAATGGTATTTCAATGATAAGATTTATTAAATATGATCGAAGTAAACGTAGATTTTGCAGGAGCATGGGTGTGGCGCGTTTGAGTTAAATTAACTGTAGGGTGCTGTGCTTGAAAAAATATTCGCCAGGGGTTCTGTTTCACTTGCAACTCTGGTACCATTTACGAAAGGCTGCACCGCTACTACTGGCCACGACGCAGAGTGCGCCGCCCACTGTCCACCACGTTGGCACATCGTTAAAGAAAATGATCTGAAAGATGAAAGCGAAGACCACGTCCATGGTCTTCGTGAGTGCGACCAGCCCTGCCTTTTCAATCTGAATTGCTTTCGTGAGGAAGACTTGCCCCCCCAGCCCAAAGAGCCCGATGAGGATGAGGAACAGCCTGTCCAGTCCGCAGTGCGGCAGACTCCATTCTCCCAACGCACAGAGGATGATGACACACTCCAGCAGGCCCAGGATGACGTAATACCAGATGCTCAGAAAATAGTCCACCGATTTCCCCATTTTCCTCAGAATCACCAACGTCACGGCAGCAAACACGGCGTGTCCGACGGCGGCGAACGTGCCCTTGAGGTGGACGGAGTAGCTCTCTCCGGCCCTCTCAGCAGTGGAGCCGAACAAGAACGGCGGCCGCACGATCAGGATCACCCCCGTGATGGTGAATACGGTGAAGAGCGCGTCCCAGGGGCTGTACTTCTCTTTGAGAAACAGACAAGCGAACAGAGACGTGAACACTGGGGTGCTGAAGGTGATGACGGTGGCGTCTGCCAGGGACGTCGTCTGGAAAGCGTAGTATAAGAGGATCATCGCGGCAGAGCCCAGCAGTCCTCGGAGGAGGAGGAAGACCCGTTGACCTTTGGGGCCTACGAAGCCAGTTCTATAAATCCAAACGGAGAAAGGCATGTTAAGTAAATGTGGTAATTGTCTTTAAATTACCATCGGCCATTGAAAATTCTTTTTCAAGTCCTAAATATATTAAAAATTAAGGAACGGTCAGTGTGGTAACATCCACAACGAGCTATTGTACACCTTTTAAAAACCATGGCTTTCCTAAATACAGCTAATGACATTAAAGTGTTCACAGAACGAGTTAAGCAAAACTAGTATAACAGATAGCTATACAAATACTATCATTGTAAGTCAGGACATATAGGTAACATTCCTATATATACGAGGACCTCATCTTCCAAAAGTTTGTGCAAAGATTCCATGACTTCATTCCTTTTTTCCATGCAATCTTGAAGCATCCTCGATCTATGTGCATTTGTGGCTGCTAGGTGCCACTGACTCACTTCCAACTCAGAGCGGTGCTCCACGACAGAGCGGAACTGTCTATGGGGCTCTTTTTGGCGATAGTCTTAAGGAAATAACTCACCAGGACTTTCTCGTCCAGCGCCAAAAAAAAAAAAAAAGAGTGGAAGAGAGAAAAAGCAAATAAGCAGAGCCGTTAATAACGGGGATGCCACAGGTAGACTCACAATTTTCTTTCTTTTATATTACTACAGTGAAAACGTGCTATTTTTACATGAAGTGGCATTTTAAAACCTACGTTTCCCTGTGTAAGGAAACCTGGCCCTGGCTAGTGTTTACCTTCCCGAAGTCTGAATGTTGAAGCAGCGCTGACATTTTACTCATTGAGAGTTAACACTGTGAGGGAGAAGGAGCGCTGGTGGCGGAGTGGGTTATGAGCTGGGCTGCTAACGACAGGGTCAGCAGTTTGGCTCCACCGGCTGTGCCATGGAAGAGAGGAGACTCTATTCCTATAATGATTCACAGTCTTGGAAACCCCAGAGGGGCAGTTCTACCCTGCCCGTAGGCTCACCAGGAGTTGGAATTGGCTTGATGGCATGAGTTTGAAAATGAGAAAGGGTTAAAATATCATGGAAGGGTGTGTGTGTAGCATTTCGATAAGTATAAATTATGCTACTTAATTTTCCCCCCAGTTACATATCTAGTAGTCACAGGTCTGTACCAGTTCCTAGCTAGGTGCACTTACTGATTAGGGTGGCGTCTGGGCCTGCCATGGAAACCCCGGGGTATCTGGAGTCAGAAATGAAAGCTTGGGCTTGTTTGGGACCAAAGTTCTCACACAAAAGTGAAGTCAAGCAGGTCAAAAGAGGTTAGGGACAAGTTTTAAGGACATTCTTCCTGTGTCCCCGCCTCTGTCAATACTTTGAATTCTAAAGCAGCGATGGTTATATTCGAATCCGTTCTGCTGCCACTGTTAAGTAATTTCTGAGACGGTACCCTCTGTACTCACACAGAAAACCTGACCATATTAATCAGAGCAGGGCGCCACCGTTCCCCCCAACTCCTTGGATCATGGAGTGAGCCGGTTCTGAGCAGTCGGCAGCGTGTTGTGAGACAAAAGGAGTCTTGGTGACAGGTGACCAGAAAGGGATGTTTGCTGTTAGTTTCCTTTCTAGTGTCAGCATCTTTGTCCAAGGAGAAAAAGAGCCAGACAGACACCAGGGGGCCCTGCTGGTCTCTCCTCTCAGGGTTCTAAGTAGAGTGGGGGGTGTGGAGGTTATTGATGCTGGGCGGGGGGGGGGGGCACAGGGCTGGGTTGGGAGAGTACAGTGAGGGCTGGGGAATATTCTACAGGGAGAAAGACAGGGTTCTCTACTCCCAGAGTCCAGTTACAGTCTCGGAAACTCACAGGGGCAGGTCCACCCTGTCCTGTAGGGTCACTGTGAATAGGCATGGGCTCCATGGCAGTGAGTTTAGTTTCTAGAGTTTTACTTTCTTTCCTAAGTGATTTCACATAGAATTAATCATTCATCTTATTTCATCATTCTACCACTTAGCAGGTCCCTCCAGAGTACGGAAATCATGAAGCAGGCCTTCTTAAGGCTACCCTTCCGGCTTGTGTCATCCTCCTGGGAAGACCTAACTATTGCAACTGTAATCCTCTGTCTGCTCTGTTCTGCCCAAGAAACCAGCGGCACCCGGACACCCTGCAACCTCCCTTCATTTTCTGCTTCTCTTCCAAATGTTAGTTAAACCGAAGGAAAAAGTGAGGGGGATTCAAGGAGCGGGGAGGGATTGCAAAGGCAAAGCATGGTTTTCACAATGGGGGGGGGACATGGTTGCTCCTTTCTCCCCCTTAGCTGGGCCAGTGGTTTGTGCGTGTGAGAGCATCTTTTGGGGTGGATCTTAATGACTTTTCACCTCAGGTAGCCAGAGCGTATAGAAGTGGGACATATCTACGTTCAGGGTGGAATTGGTACTCTGGACTAAGCAATTTAGGCAGGTCAAAAGATTGACAGGCATTTATTATCGATACCTTCGACGTGGCCATGAACACATACTTACTTTCTGTATATTAAGCAAGGGATAATGACTAGCATCTGGAACACACATCGAAACGCACTGATTTCGACAGCATGGACGTCCTGCACTTTTTTGACAAACAAAGAGCCCACTGAGAAAAGGAAGGCAGAGAGTAACGTGTAAAACAAGCCAAGTCCAGGGCAGGGCGCTTTCTTCTTGCCTTCTGAAAAAGAGTAAATTCTGGTCAGTTCTTGCCCCGAGCACACAGGTCATCCTGTTCATTTACAAATTGAAACACAGTGACCAGTGCCAACGGCCTCACCAGTCTGCAAATACGACCTCTTCGGTGTGTCCCATTTTCTAGATCTGTGCCATTTCCCCAAACCCTATAAGTCACCTAAGTCACCGAGTCTGGGGAACGCGGGGGCTTTCGACTCCCGTCACAGTCTACCCTGTGCTACAGGGTTTCTGTGGTTCAGCACTGACTGGATGGCAGGGAGGTGGCTTGAGTTACAGTGTGGCCTCGCGTAACAAGGATTTCCAAGGGCCTGCACTCCTTCCAGGTGGTTCAAAAAGTTCATGGGAAAATGGAACTTTTCCACAAGTAGAATTTCCCCCCAGACTTTCTGAAACACCCTCCTGAGTCAAGAAGACGGAAGCGTGGCAAGAAATACTTGTCAAGATGATAAGTAAAAATGCTCCCAAGTGATAATAACATCGGACACCATCTCACTAGTGACGTCAGCTTTAATGTAGAAACTTCTCCTCCTCTTTCCTGGAAAACAGGTGATGGCTGTGGTGCAGGGTGATCTGACCTCCCCTTCAGCCTGTGAGCCCCTCAGGGCTAGGACCTGGTTGGTAGTGTTCATGGTTGGCCCATGGCAGACCCTTCTAAATAGTTGCCAAGTATGAGAGAGCTTCACAAAACTCTCAGGCTTTAACAATACTGGCACCAGCCTAATCTGTGATTATGTGCCCGCATTTCTTACTGTGACCTGTTTCCGTAACTTTTCATGGTTTATGACATCTCCCCATGGGAGCATCAGCTCTTCAAAGTCTTTGTCTCCTCTGACCCCCAAGTGGCTAGCACTTAACTGGTACCCGATGTCTACTCCTGCTTGATCTGGTGGCATGAACAGAAAGGTTGACAGTTTGAATCCTTGCAGGCTCCTTGGAAGAAAGGGCTGGTGATGGGCTTCTGACGAGTTGCAGTTATTGAACGCCCTATTTTGACACACATGGGGTCGCCATGAGTTCAGATGACCTCCCTGGCCAGTGATTTTTGATCGTTTGTTTTAACTTGATCTGAACCAGGAGGCTGTTTTCCTTAGGGTCTCACACATTTGATCCACTAGTGATACTCTAGGTGTGTCTTAAACGAGGTTTTAGCTACTGACCTTCCTATGTCTCTCACGGGAGGAGGAGACCCTCTTTCCAGTCTCACTCTCCGAGGAGAACTAAATAAGGGCAGAGAGGACTCACGCTGAGAAATATTCATCCCCCCACCCCCCCAACTTCCTTTTGTGGAATTAACACAAAAACACGGGTGGGGGGTGGGGGGGGGATGAACACACATGGCCCTGGTCAGTGAAGCGCAAGAATGGAGCTGAAGGTGTGCGGACGTGTGTGAGCTGTCGTCATACGAAGACTGTCAGCAATTAACCAAGGGGAAAAAGGCAACCAAATACGGTCACTGAGTCAAGACCAGCATGGCACAACCATGTTTTCAGAAAAAGGAAAAAAAAGTCTTTCTCTAGAATTGCAAATGCCTAGTAGAACATCCGACATCGTCATAACTGCTAGATTACCTTTTGCCCGCTTTGACAAGGTGTGACGATACATAAGTCATTTCCAGGCATTCTCCAGCCCGACCTGTGCAGTCACCTCCTGGCTCTCCAGGAGGTCTCCCCTCCTGGAGGGGAGGAACAAGCAGTGTCTAGGTTATAGGTGATCTGCTGTAGGTGCCTAGAATGCTCCCCATTCTGTGTGCTCAGATACCTAGGAAACAGCTGCCCCTACCACTCGGCCCACAAGAAGGAAGCTCTCCACAACTTCCAACTTAAGTACCACAAACTACACTCCGTGGCTGGGGTCAGACATTCAGAATTAGCTTCTGAAACGTCAACCTTCAGGCCCAAATCAAGCAGTTTGTATTCAAAGAAACCCAACCAACACCCTCAGGCAGAACGGAATGAGGAGCTTCAGGACAGAAAACATCACCCTGGTCTATATTTCAAGGATCTTCTCCAATCTAAACAGGTTCATTTTTTTTCTCCAGGAATATTTTCACCAAATGCAATACTTTAGCTCTTTTAAAGGTGTTTTTATAACTCTGGGCTCAGATGATCTTTTCTTTTAAAATACATAAGCTTATGTCTCTATTACTTTGTTGCCTGTGGACAGGAGTCCTATTGATGTGGTTACACCTTGGGCTGCTAACCAGGTCAGCAGTTCCAAACCATCAGCCCCTTCTCGGGAGAAAGACAGGGCTTTGTACTCCCCCAAAGAATCATAATCTCAGAAACTCGCAGGGGCAGTTTCACGCAGGCCTACGGAGTTGATGAGCTGGCATCTACTGGATAGCAGGGAGTTTGGTTTTTGGTTTTGAAAGACATTTACTGCCTTGGCTAGATTTTACAGGCCTACTTGATCTTGATTACTTGTTAATGAGGGTGAGGACTGGTTTTATTGATGACAGCTTCCATCTCTTTTTAAATTTTTTAGTTTATTTACTTTTCTCACCAGTTTTATTGATACATAATTTACATATCAGACCACTGAATAGTTCGATCGTATCAAGATCACCACCACATCAATCTTAGAGCATCCCCAGACCCATTGCCACTGTCACTGGATAATTCAACTTTAAAATGAGTTGTGCAATCACAATGGAATTCTCTATGCCAAATGGGCATGTTGTCAGGAGAAACAAGTCCCTGGGGGTGGGATGGGGAACCAAACTAGGTTTGGTAAAGGATCAATAGATAAAAATATATTTCCATTCATTATGTCAATGGACCTGTTTTCTGAAGATACTCCCTGAAGGGTGTGGGTGGGGATGTTTGGTAGGTCAACAGAAAGCGGTACTTCAATCCTCCATGCCAATGGAGATGAGCAGAGTAGGGTAATTGGGTGGCATTTGGTTACAGATGGGCGCCCAGGTACATGCTGCCACAAGTACACTTAATAATTTGGCAACTCTAAACAATTTCAATTAAATAGGCGGCCCCAGTGTAATTTCCTGACAGAGAAGAAAATGAATACCCTGTTTAGCTTTAGCGAGTGGATCACAACCGTGGGAATTAGAATCACTTCAGTCACTTAAAAAATCCAGTTCCCACGCCCCAGCAGACTCCTTCCACAGAGTTCCTGTTACTGTATAAGGCTCCACCAGTCCTTCACACCTGGACTGGACCCACCCTCTGGGAATCCCGTTGCCGCCAAACCACGGGCCCATAAAGTGAACTATTCATGAGGACCATCCTCCGCAGCACATTTGGCCCCAAATAAAGCTCAGAGGGCGGGAAAGAAGGCCGGAGGCTTCTGTGGAGGGAACCACCACAGAGGTCATGAGACACAGTGTGTCTGAATGAGCGAATAGAAAGTCCCACAGCTCTGTAACCTTTCACTCAAGCCACAATTTAAACACAAAAGATGCTCCACCAATTTGAGAACCACAGCGATCTTGGAGAACTCACTCCCAGAAGGCTTTGCGGCACTGGCCTCAGAGCCAGTGAATCCTCTTGTTTAAACCTTGAGCCTTCCATTGCCCCTAAAGAAAATAAAGGTCTTAGGAGAGATGTATGCTGCCTGTTAAGGTCATCCAAGAACACAAGAAACAGGGGCACCAATGGCAACCTGAACTTGAACATGAGCTTTGAATGGCACTGCCACCGAGTCCGAGGACAGGGCAGTTATTGTAAGTATTTCTATGGCAATCTGTTTGGGAGTATTACCTGATCATTCGACACAAGCAGTAATTAAGTTTTGATTATTAGCGGTGTGCTTAGAAGTTCAAAGACCCCCACAAGATCCTTTACGTCAATCACTGACGGAAGCCCAAGAATACAGTATTCCTCTTGGGACCAGAATAGGGAAACCTAGAACCGGTGCGGGTTAACAGCATTCTGCCAGAATGCCATTCAGCGGGAGGTGATCTGCTAAGAAATGAACCTCTTCAAAGGCCGCGCATTTGATCAACCCAGCTTGGGGGCAGCGCTGTGGCGACAGCAGCCCGAGTGCCCAGTGCTGGCAGTGCATGAATAAATGATCAGAAGTCTGATAAGTTCTGCTGCAAATAGAGGCAGAATCCTCACCTTTGGGTTTTGCTTCTAAACTGGGGGAAGGCAAACCGCTGGGCCACACTGATGGGAAAAGACTGTCCTAAAAGGAGATGTACCTATTTCCTTCTTCTTCCAGGCTCAGACTTCTCTCTGGGGAAAGTTGCTCCACGTGGGTGGTAAACTTCATTAAGGAATGCACATAAAGCACTTCTATTGGGCCAGGGGAAAGGGCCCTAGGTTAGGACACTAACCCCGTTGCTTTAGACCTGACCCCTCAAAACTGCCCTACGCCCCCATTCAATACTGAACAATAACAAAACCAAACCCTAAGTCTCCGGGGCCTCGCTGTCCGCCACTGGAGGAGGGGGATGAACTCGATCAAGGGTCCTTTACTCGGGATCACAGGCTTTGGGGGTGGGTCCGTGCCCTCCTTACCAACGTGCATTAAGACTGTGCCTCTGTCTGGTTTTGTATCCATTGCCAACTTGTCCCCATATTCCCCAAAGGTTAAGATCCAGTGGTCTCACTCCATTCTGCCTTTCCAAGATTTTAAGTCTCCGGGACAGACATGTTTCCATGGCTTCTTGGGGAACACCATTTGGAACCAGCTTCCTCCCAACCTGGGCCTGGCGGGATGGCCTCTCCCCCTGACCCCCGACCTCGGGCAGGGCACCCTGATCGGCAATCTGAGTCCACGGTCCTGCTAGCCACACTTGAATTCTAGGCGCAGCCTTAG